GACGACTTCAACAAGGAGCGAGATCCAGCAATCGTGAAAGGCATGTAACTGAAAAGGGCAAAGAAATGCAGGAATATGAGGCAAAGAAAAATGACGTGGCATTGTGTAAATTTTAAATTAATTTTAAAATAATTTAAATTTTGAACTCAGTCTATTATTTTTGGATCAGCTCAGAAATAATTTAGATTTTCCTAAAGGTGAAGTGAGTATATTTCTTTTCTATTCTTTTTAATGCTGGATCAAGAAGGCAGCCATCACCCATCCTTAACGCACGCAAGATGACAGGAAAGATACGAACATAAAAGTCACAGTAGTACAAGTATTTCCAAGTATAAGAAAGTAAACATCAGACAGTGGTTATTGTAGTGCTATCATACAGTTGTACATCAGTCACCGTAACGTTGGCTTGTGTATGAGTCTTATTTATAGCTGAGATATATACTGTGAACAGCAGATGATAATGAAATCCTCCTCAAACCACTTGTAACACACAGTTAATCCTGAAACTGAAACATGAATATGACAACTACTTTTTAAAAAGGAATTTAGGAGAAAAAAACCTGATAATTAAAACTCACAACACTAGATTTGTTATAGTAATTCAACTCCCTACTTACTGAGTTTAAAGCTGCCTGTCATGGTACTGAAATAGACAAGAAACATGTTTTGAGATGGATTTTATTTGATTGTTAATTTGAAACCTAAAAGGAGTTTGTGCATCTGTTTTATTTATAAAAGACCAAAAGCTGCTGCACACATTTTCAATTATTGAGCTCTGTCTCTCTGCGTGTGAGTGTGTTCACCATGTCAGCACCAATGGCTGTATGAAAGGTGAATGACGTAGCTCCACTTCCACCTACCGTATAAAAATAAAGTCCCTCCTGTCTCCTATTTCTAACCTCTTTTCCTTGACCTTAAGAAAAAATGGGTGGGAGAACTGACAAGGACTTAGAAAAATACCTTAAATTTGTGTCTTCTTAACAATGTGATGTTCAGATGTGTGTTAATCAAACAGTTTATAAAAATATCAGCAGGTTATGGCCTTGAATGGAATATGTGTAAAGGTCTGTTTTTCGTTTATTGATATAAGCCTGTACAGCTACAGCTAGTGTCCAGTAGAGGGCTCTGTCGCTTAGTTAGTGGCAAGCTGCACTTCGAATCTTAAAGTGGAAATCACTGGACCCGTGGAGGATCTCTCTACTTCTTCCTTGGTCTGGGGGACTGCTACAGTGAAAACTCAGTCGCTTAGTGAAGGCTAGTTGCTAACCCCATGCCAGATGAGTGCAGCCTGTCGAGCAGGGTCCGTGCAGGTATTACGCCCATTAAGGACTTTGCTGATAACAAAGTTACAAAGTTAAAATGTCTGCACACTAATTCAGAGTTACTTGCCTTAAATATTTTTGTGGTTTACAGCCTTAAAGTCTGTGAAGGTTCTCAGTCATCCAGGTCATCGTAGTCAAAGGAGCTTGCAAAGAAAAGCGTCTGGACTTCTTTAAGTTACTTGAAGACG